TAATTGAATTATAAGAAAATATATCAATATTGTGATCTTCCCTCATAAAACATATTGTTGTTTCACATAAAAATGTATTTTCAGAGCCACGCAAGTAGTTTCATTACATAGGATGGAAACAAAATAAATTGATGAATTTCAAAACAGACAAAGACATAGGATGTTCAGCGTATACCCTACGAGATCACCAGCGAAACAAAAATAAAACACAGATAAATCAGAAAAATAGTAGGTAAAGAAGACCGCCTGAAAATAAGAAACTGTAAAATTTAAAAGTAGCTAGGCGAAAAGTGAAACAAGATGTGTGAATGCAGGAATATATACAACTGCGGTGAGCAGTCTACTTATGAACTCAGGAAGCGCACAGAGAAAAGCCAGGAGGCGAGGAGGAAAAGAGCACCAGCTGCAGACTCGCCTCTGCTATTACGAATAATAGAACTACGAAGGCAGAACTCGGCAAAGCTTTTTCTCACTCATGATATTCCAAAAATATTCCAATCTCGGTAAATTAATCTTGATGACTATTTTTCAATAATCCATGTAAGCAAACTACAACGTCTGACTAAAGTTGATTCGTTCTACTTGCGAAACGAATCCAATCCGATAGCTATCATGCAATTCCAATTTTAAACATGTCAAGGTTTCGGCAATGAAGAAGATTCGCGCACAACAAGAGAGAGGCCAAACGACGTCCAGCGGAATTCGAATTTCCAATCTCGCGCTATCTTGGCTGTCAAGCTACGGCGCATAAACGTCGCAGACGACTCGCTTTCGGACGATAAGGTGACCATGCGGCCCCATGAGACCAGTCAGTTGCTCGGTCAGTCGCTCCCGCGAGGACTACCCTTTTGACCTCTCGAATCTCTTCGTTCGTTTCGGTTGCTCGCACTCGATCGCCTTTTGATATCCTAGTCCGATTAGAATTGTACAAATCGAATGAAAAATCATTCCACCTGCCATTATGTCTTAGGACTTTGCTTCGTTTTTTTGTTTAGCGCATATTATTATGCAAGATTGCTCGGTTCATTCAAATATTTTCGAATTTTTCACATTCATGTGTAGATTTATAAATTGAATTGTATGATGACCAATACTGAGCTTGCAAATCCGTGTCAAATTATGTGGAATTTCGAATTCCAAATTATGACAACAATTTTTCTTGGAATCGCATTAAATTCCCTTTCACAGATAAAATAGCACTAAATTATTTCAAATTTAGTCTTACCAATACTGTCGAGGGCCATTATACAATATAGAAACTGACAGCAATGAAAACGAGTAGACATCAAAATTCTCATACCTCGTCAACAAGTATACTGCTCACTAAAGTTCTACGGGTCGGGCAGTGTGAAAACCATGTAGGAATTCCACAGCGAAAAGTGGAAAATGGTGAGAGAGAGAGAGAGAGAGAGAGAGGAAGCGAAGAACTATAATTCTGCGTTATCTGCAAGTTCACGGCCGAGCGCATTCCCTCGTGCAAGTACTCATCTAAGCGTGACGTATCCCGGTCGCCTGCACCGCCACCGCCACTTGCGCGTCGCACATAATAGACGCGCCTCCAAACGATAGCCATCTGCCATCGCCAGATCCACTATGTGAAATGTTCGCACGTCTTTTCTCATACACTGTTTTATAGGCTTTTTTTGCCTTCTCCCCTTTCCCGCTCGCATCGTTATTTGGCCTTGCGCCGCGTGATCAATATCACAGATTGAAAGCAACGACCGAGTCACGTTTCCCTCGTCGATCGTTTTATTTAGTTTTCTGGTCAAACCCACGATTCCATCATTTTTAACCAACGTGCACTGGAGAGGATGGATGTTAGATTTTTTACGGTCAGTGAAATTAAATGCCAACAATCATGCAGCGCTGGAGAATTTTAGTGGCATTTTAATACTGCTTTTAATAAAATGAGATCCGTGTATTTGATTGAAAAAAAAACTTAAAATATTACGTATCACGGCGATTTTGAAAGTATTATTTGAAAGAATTAAATGTACGCACACCTGGCATCTTTGATAAAAGATGACCAAACATTCAGAAAGTATAACTGAATTGGAAAATTACTCGTCAGTTTAACGTGAAATATCGGAATCAAGTAAAAAAGAGAAATTTTTAACGGCAACAGATGTTAGTTTAATTAAAATAAACTGAAGCTAGCAGAAGCAGTTTCTGTACGCATTACTCTCAAATGCGTGGTTAAAAAGCATTCACTTTGCAGCTTGTATAAAGTCGCCAAAGTTTTTCAAAGTAATAGAAAGTTTTTAGATATTCAAAGTTTGCCTCCTCCCCCTCCCGCGCTCCAGCCCCTTTCACTCTACTTTCATCTCGTTCTTCTGCTTTTTTTCTCGCTCGCGGATATCATGCTTCTTTTTTCCTTCACGCAAGCTTTCGCTTGAGGAAGTGTATCATTAAAATTCTACCTCGAGCAGAGCATTATACAAGTTGAGGATTTAATCCATGAATTTCATTGGCTATCTTACATTGGCTGTTTGACTTTATTATAACATCAGTTATTAGTACATCCGTTTATCATGAATCATTAAGGAGAAATTAATTAATTAATTTGTAATAAAGTTCATCAAATTCATTTGAATTATTGCATGATTAATTTAATAATAGCAAGAATGCTTATAGAAGCTTTCACCTGCAGTATGCTACCAGCACAAGCAATATCATCACATAACTAACAAATTACGGCAGCATTTTCATTTAAAATTTCATCAGCTCTTATTAGCGCTTGAAACGATAAAGTTACTGGTTATTCTTGTCGGCGTACATAGCTAGTGTGTCAAAAATAATTGGATTCAATGATACATCGCGCTTATAAAATAAGAAGCTATGGGCAGGGTGAAAATTGGTAGATTTAATCGACGCGAAGAGCTTGCTCGCGTAGATATAACCTGGTTTCTCCCGAACATATTGGGGTGGTCGAGGGTGGAAAGCGAGAGAGAGAGAAAAAAAGGATCTCGAGCGCAACTTCGGGCCAAGAATGATTTAAGAGTCGTTATCAGCGGGTGCAACGTGGCTACGGAGTCGGAACGACCTCGTCAGCGGATCGCGCGGGCGAACGAACGCAGGCAAGTTCCTATCAATTCGCTATATATTCCAGGCAGCCGGAATTTCGCAGAGCTCACGGTCGGAAACTACAGTAGAAGAAAGCTAGCTGACCTCTAAATGAGAGAATGTCAATGAGATATATATTCCCTAGTCAATTTACCAGTTGAAAATCTACTTCTTCGAAATAACTTCTGTCGATGGCTAAACCAGATTAACTCCTTTCAAACCGTTCAAGTTCAAGGTATTCGTCTAAAATGAAATTTCGAGGTTCATATTTTCTTTTACTTATCAACGCACTCAACGAAATTGTCTTTGGCTAAGGGTCAGAGCGATTCTTGCCTGATAAACCATTTAAAGAGGTGAGCAAAATTGAAACTGAAATTGATAATCGTGTGGAACAATAGACCTTTCGGAAATATTATAACTCTGAAAGCATTAAAGACTGAACCACTACAATACGCATTGTGAATAAACAAAGGAGGCCCATTAGCATCAAAGAAAAGAGCAGAGGCGCTGAGCTTATACTGTAAATTTGCATAATTAGAGAGTCCTGTCGCACCTGCGTGACTTTGATTGCATTTTATCAACTTGTTATTACATTTTAGTAACAAGACCATTTAATAATTTCCTTCATTTTAATGAACGATGTAATTATTGAAACTGTATCGATTACGCGGTTAACTGTAGAAATGAAAACGAAAATATACACGTCTTATCCAATGAAATAATTATAGTTGCCTTGAAAAATATTATTTTCAAAGTACTGGTCAGATAACTTAAATTGCGGAAATACTAAATTATAGCTAATGTCATAGTCAAGTATCAAACAATACTTTTTAAAACGGTATTTTTTCATCCATTACAATTATTGCTAAAATGTCAGTATACTTCAACTATAACGTGCACAGGGCTAAAAGCGGATATCTTAGTAACAAATATCTTCCGTATGCTACAGTATTTATCGTAGCACATAACTATCCATTCGGTCATTAGTCCTAACGGATGCTATTTCCTAGCGTCTACCAAACAGAGAAAGAGAGAGACAAAGAGAGTAGGAGAGATAAGCAGGCAGGCAAACAGACAGAGGACAGGTATAAATTCTAAGGAGTTGGTCAAGCCTCTCGTTCCTTGAGTTGACAGGGCAAATACGACTCATATTAGGGTCTTAAAGGGGTATTCAAGGATGCTGAATAGCATCAGCCTGTACTATTATGGTGTTCTCATCTCTCTGCCGCGAGCGCGTTATATAGGTACATAATGCTCTTCAGTCGGCTGCGCGTAGAGTGCAGCCAAGCGTTGAGTGCATGCGCTCGATTTCACGTGCGATTGGCCTCCGATAGCCAATGACGGGTGATGAATTGCCGATTAAGACGACCGGCCACCACTGCCATCGCGTAGGTTGCGAACTATGTGTGCGCTCGGCACGCATTTGTCAAAGTATCTCGATGTTATTGCCGTTTGGCCTTAATCCGTAAACAATGAGAGCGTTTCGCGTTGTCTAGCTTGCAACATTTTTTTTGACATTCTTGTTATCTTTTCTATGTTTGCCTTCTTTTTGAGAAAGGATTCGACAGAGAAATAAAGATCGCAATTAATCTCAATTGACTAGGAAAATAAATGACTCTTATTATAAATAAGTTTTCATTGTATATATTATTTAGATTTGTCTTAAGTTAATCTAGAATCTTTATATGTTATTAATAAATTTTTTATTAATAAAAATAATAACGTTGTATTTATTGATAAATTTATTTTTTATAAATACAATAAATAATTATTCAGCAATGTAGAAGCTCAAGGCAAAATATTGTCGTAGTATTCATCTGTAATTATTAGAAAGATATAGATATATCGATGTTCGCATAAAATATCTATTCATAGTACTTTGGCGTCACTGATAATATTATCATTGATAATTGTGCTTAACTAGAAAACTACTCAAGCTTATATAAAACTTACTTCCGACGTAAGGCATCCTTCAGTGGTCACGATGAAGTCAATATTACAAGTTATAGCTGTTGTAGTGATGATCATTTTAGATTCGAATGGAACAAAAATAAATAAATGCCAAGGAGGTAAAGAAAGTATATAATATTTGACAAAAATATTGGAAAAAATTGACGTATACACTAGAGAAAGTATGTAAATGAAAAATTATTTCTCTTTGTAGACAATGCGCCTTCAATAAATGATCTCAAGGTTATGCTTGGAAATTGTACAGATGAAGTACCGTGCGTATTGACTGCGGGTGAAACATACAACTTTGAACAGAAATTTAAAGCCCCAAAAGATGTCGATGATCTCCAATCAAACGCATTTGGTTTAGTCTTTACATATTTAATATCTATTAAAAGTGCGAGTGATCCTGAAGCATGTAAAAAAATAGAAAATACAAAAGGTATGACAGGAGTATGCCCTTTAAAGAAGGGTGAAAACTACATCTACAAAAATGCAATTAAAATAAAGGAAAACGAAATAAGGGTAATTTAGCAACCAAATATCATTACATTAATAGTTTGTTAACGAAAGTCCATTACGTTTTAAAAGATTTTATTTATTAACAAAATTCTGCATATAAATCCGATAGTCATATAATAACAAAATATTTTCTGTCTGCAGGCTAGCATTAACGTACAATGGCATCTGACACACGCTAATGAAAGTCTTACTTGCTTCGAAATTCCTATAAAAATTCAAGATAAATAATTAGTAAACTCAAACCGTCGTGAAATAAACCTTTGCAGTTGAACCGAATTGTTTTGGCAATTTATTTCCTGTTGCAAACTTGTTAATCACAATGCAGCATAATTTTCAAGTTATGTAATATATACTTTTAATGTAGGTACAACGTATCGGGTATATAGAGTGGTAAGGGAAGAATAAACTTAACAGGAAATGGACGGTAATTGATCACCTAGAAAAATTATAAAAAAACTAAGCTTGATTGATAAAAATGGCAAAACTCGTTACTAATTCCGCGCAATTTTTCTATCCAACCCAAATATCATTATAGCTGTCCGTTTTGCTATCCTTGCTAATTACGCATTGTTTTTCTGTAATATTTTCAAGTCAATTTTCGTCGATTTCCAACTGAGTTTCTTCATCAATTGATAAGTGATAAATCTTACAGAATCAAGTGCTTTTGAAAATAAAAACAATTTTTTAAAATCCATTTTTCTTTTTTATAACAATGTTTATTAACGTATATATATACATACGTGTGTGTGTGCATGCGTTTCGTAATTGATCTAATATCTATTCCTATAACAATTATTAATATTACAAAATGTAAATTTTCTCCTTGTGGTCTCTTTCATAAAGTGTATATATGATAAAATCTTACGGCTAATCTTAAACTTGTAGTGTAAATTTTGATAATATACACAAAGCAGGTAATTACATTACGATTGCTTTCGTCATTTATTCGCAAATTTATCTTTTCTTTATCAAGAATAACAAACTTTAGCGATTCAGAGGTACTAGATGCATCACATCGCGTGCTTAGCACTCCTATCGATCTTTAATTTATTTATTTATTTATTTTTGTTCGAAATTGGAATTGGAATTCAACATTCCATCGAAATTGAAAATTTAAGAATATAAGATACTCCAATAAGAATATATTGAATAGAATTTTTCAATAGTTAATAATACAAAGTGTAATGGCCAAAAAGAGTAATCGAATTTCAACAGTAATATGGAAGAAATTGATCTCGCAAGGGTAAATAAATGTTCACGTAAAATTAATTAGTTACACATTAAATTGCTAAGTAACTTGTGAAATATTGAATAACTAAATAGTTTTTTGAAGCCTCAAATATTAATACAATTAAAAAATATGTTGAAAAGTAATAATTGGCTTAGGACTAGGACATATTTTTAACAAAGAAAAGATACATATGTATAATACAATGTTTCCTTTGATAGACTATACTATCACTTAAAAGCAACAAAAGTACTTCTCTAGCGATCATTCTCGTCTCTGTATTATAGAAAAAGAGAATAATATACATATGATACATCAAATATTTCTTCGTTTTTTGATAATACATTTTTGATGATTTTTCTACAATTACGACGTTCAGGAAAATTATAATGCTAATTGAATCATAAGTAGATAAAACGTGCATGTTATTTTAAATTTTGAAGATTCAAACAAGAAACTCTAATACCATAACAATATCAAAACAAAAACTCTAGACACAAGCTAATAATAGATCCAGCTGAATAAAACTAAGACTTACTCTTGACTATGAGACAATCATCATCTTGGCATTTTACTTATAAAGCTACATTATCGGCTACAGTTAGCCAATGCCGGACTGTAGCTATAATATAGGTATATAATTATATAATACGTGAATAATTATTTAACTACAAGGAAAAATTTCATAAAATGTTGTAATATTATAAAGGTCATCATTCATAGATAATTGTACAGTAGATTATAGGAATAATAATTTGCTCATAATATATCCATTGATTATTTTGTACACCAGTGATAAATATTATCGTCCATAATTGCATTTTAGTGAAAAAACCACTTATTCTAGACTATATAAAACTTTTTTGTGCTATTACGTGTTTTATTTAATAGTCAATATGAAGAAAGTATTACAAGTTTTTGCTGTCCTCATTGCGATTATCGTGGGATCAAATTCAACAAAAATAGAAAAATGCAAAGCAAGTAAGTTCAAAGCATATATCAAAAGGTGTTTTCTTTTAAATCATTATATAATTCGTGGAGTTTCATACAAATAAAACATATTTCTTGAATTTACAAAATATATGTAGTCATGCTTTACCTTCAAAAATTCACTGCTATCAATAATACAATTATTGTCATAAAAATTTTTTTTATTTTATAGAAGATTCACCAAAAATAAAAGATCTTGAGGTAAATCTTGAAGACTGTACTGGTACTGATGGCCGATGCATTTTAAATAGAGGTCAAACATACAACTTTGAACAAAAGTTTAAATCACCGAAAAATGTCGACAATCTCGAAGCAGTTGCAACTGCATCAGTATTTAAACAGCCAGTACAAATTACCAGCGCAGATGACTCTAATGCTTGCCAAAATATATCAGATATGAATGGCAAGAAAGGATGCCCTTTGAAAAAGGGCAAATCGTATGTGTACAAAAAACTAATCACAATAAAAAAAGACGAAATTTGGGTAATTTTTCTACTAAATATCAATAATAATAATAATAATAATAATAATAATAATAATAATAATAATAAATATTCAAGTAACAAGCTAATTATTCAAAAAATATTTCATTTTCTTATAATATTTTACATCAGCTGCTTTGATTCACTTATTTGCTCAAGTCGCTTAACTGATTTCGTTAACTTGATTATAAATAGCAACAACAAAGTGAATATCTCGAATATTGATGTATATTAATTGAAAAGAATAGTATTCAATCTCTCATTTTATAAACGATAGATTAAATTCAATTGCAAAGGTTGTGTAGAAATTAGGTTGTTATATCTTGTATAGATTGTATTGTATGTATTGTATATAAGTAGGTCGATTCAAAACTAGACCCACTCAGAGCAGTTTTTAAGAGTTAGCTTCGATAAATTTTTAAATTTAATTACAAATAATGAATCGTTCGATCGAACTGAATTTATTTTTTATTTTCAGGCCAATATGAATATGCAATTTCATTTAAAAAGTGGTAATAATACCATTACTTGCTTTGGACTTCCTATAAGAGTTCAAGAGAAAAAAGAATAAGAGACTAAACTTGTCATGAAACAGAACCATTTCTTATAGTCAAAACAAAACTACTTAATTATTTTCTTACTATTAAGAATGTTATCGATAACTCTATATAGAACTATTTTTCGGTTTATGTATTATTTTTTGTTCTAGTAATCTACTATACTAGGAACTTAGAATAAGAAATGATTTCTTTAAAGTCATTTGTTATTTCAAATAAATGAAGCTTTTAAATAACAAACCGTTATAATTACTCCAAAATCAAAGCTCGAATTAACAATAGTTCTTTTGAAGCAATCGTGCATATTAAACCTTATTTACAGGATAATTTCATGTGGTGGAAGTTAAACAGAATGACCGTTGTTAATCCGTTGTTAATAAAATCATATAAATTATTTAGATGTTGTTACGGTTGTTCTGGTTATAGAAAATAATCGAATAGATAGATAAATCACGGAATTAATAGTGCAAAACGTCCTATAGCAGATAGTAAATTTATATAATTGAGGTCAAATAAATTACGCAGTGAAGAAAATACGTTGAATTGAACAATAATAAGTAGTAATGTGAATTAGGGGCAATGTAAGAATTGCATAAATAAAAAGCATGTAGATTTTAATTAAATAAAAGGATTTTAATAGGTATAAAAAAACCTCCTCAAAGTAACGAGGAAAAAGCCGAAGGCGTGCAGATTATACAATAATTTTACATCAATAAAGCATTAGAAAAGAAGTAAAGAAAACATCTAACTTACAGTGGAAATGCACAATTGAAATGAGATAAGCTCGATTAGCCCTTACAAAGATACAGTGGAATGGCTATTCGCTACGGTCGCTTGGAGATCTCTCTTACTTCACGGACGACGCTTACATACAATAAATAGCGCGAGAGGGAGAAGATGCTGTCAGAGCGAAAGAGCACATGCAGTCCCGATGTCTCGGGAACGGAACAGCCCTCACTATGATGTCGCTGAGTCGCTGATCTGAGGGTAGCAGATGTATGGTAGGAGGACTGATGCTACCTCTACTAGTATAGCAGGTTAACCCGTCGCTAGCCTCTTAGTGGTCGTCGCAAGGGAATACATACTGTAGCGGTAAAACAAACACAGGTACATACGAAAGCCATGGAAGATAATGACAACGGTCGAACTAAATCGCACAGAGAAATGAGCAGGTGCCGGCAGTTAACGAAGAGCGAGTGGCTTAGTACTCGACGGTTCAAACTTTCGAGCGAGATTGACGTTCTCGAGCGCGTCTGTTTTTCGGTGAGAAAAAATGGCGAAAAACGAAAGGATCAGAACTGTGTGCCCTTTCACCTTTAGGCTCCTCTAGAGGGGAACCAAGCAACGATTAGGAGAGAACAAGATGACAGCAACTCTACGCGATGTCTGTGCAAACTCGTAGCTACTTTAGGGGTCGCGTGCTTCAAGGTCCGTTTTTTATGGCTCAACGCGACAGAAGGTAATTTGGGTTTTCTCAATACATGCTGGAAAGACTAATTAGGGACTGAGATGACCAAATGAGAGAAAAGGAAACATAAGGTACGCGTCTGTCGAGGAGTTGCAGTTAACAGTAAAAAAGAAGCACGAGTGCTTATTGTAAACGAGGGATAGCACAGGACGCGAACAACGGCATTTTTTCGTTTGAAATTTGTTTCTCAAAAAAATTGTAAATTATTCATTCAACAATCATTCGACAGTTCTGAAAATAATAACTTCGTATATTCGTATATATAATGGAAAAAATTAAATGCATTGATGAATATATTATACCTTCTTACCTGTTTTAGGTCAGTATTGATGTCAAATTTAGTATAGTATATGAAGACGTCCGTATGACTTGATTCTCAATATCCATGCATTAATTGTAGAAAAAGCACACCTTGTTGTGAAATCTTAACTTATAGTTTAACCATCATAGGCTGATGATTTTGCTTTTTTGACTATAATATATATATATCTTTAATATAAATAAATGTTTTAAAGTTCAATTACTGATGCATATAATAGAAAATATTATTTTCATAAATACACTATTCTATTAGATACTGCTAACTGTATCAATATACTTCTTTTTGAGGATCTTTACAATTTTTTAAATATTCAAAATTATATATTCAGGATTTCTTGTATTATCAAAGCACGATAAGAGAAATACAATGTTTTTAGAACTAAACGAAGTAAACGATTAATGACTTTACATGAGTTCGGAACGAGAACCACTAATATGCGAAGCTATATATAAAGAAGATTCCAGTAGTAAGGCTCATCAGAAATTGGAATACGCGCGCGCGCGCGCGTGTGAGATAGAGCATTTAGCACATGGTCGTGCATAACGAACATGCAAACGAGATTCAAAGCGTTTGGGATAGTTTGAGCAGTTACTAATGTCGAAGTGGTGCACTTTATAATGGTACCGACAGCGAGGAATGAGAAATGCACAAAGAGGGTAAAAGCGAAAGCCGTATAGCGGCTTCGTCAGTGTACAGCTAACTGGTAGCCGCCACCACTCGTCCCTATTCCTCTCGCCGTAAGCAATTCTATTCTGATCTACAACACAATCGTTATTTGACTGCTTCATTATTTCCTGGATAACTTCCTACAGCCACTAGTTATTTCCAATCGAGCAAATAACGAATATCAGTTAACAACTTGAAATTATTTTTTATCGTTCTTTGACTTTCCTTTAACATACCACATCTAATCATTGAAATCCATAGATTCCATATTAAAAATAATTATGTTCTACATAAATCTGATGCGAATATCATATCTTCTACAGGATTTGCAATCCTCAAAAACCTATGAATTTGATGTAAGTATAGTTTATTCGAGGGTCATATTTGCTTCAAATGATTGCAACTCTTCATCTCTTACTGTAGTGGACGAGACAGGGCCAAAGTTAAGTTCCAACTATTTTTCTTCTTTTGTTAGGCATCTCGTCTATAAATAAGGAAGACTTGCTTGAGAATAGCCTCATAATAAAGAAAATAAAAGATAAAAAATAAGAGGAGAAAGAAAAAGTGACGTTCTGTAAGTTATAGCCCCGCTGTTACCTTGCCTCATCAACAATATTGCTTATTTTTATTTTTTAACTTTTATCTTGCTGCTCGCACATGTATACATAAGAAATATGTCTTCTTCTACTCTCTTGTCATACTTCACTCGATACGCTTATAATCCGTTTCAGAGTGCTAATGGATCTGACAACGTCCATCCACGGTAAAACGACAAATGTCTGATGTGAGAAAAGGACAGTATACTATGCCTCATACACACTGAGGCGAAATTATTCAGAGGAATATCCCCCCTCTCGCTCTCTCTTTCTCTCTCTCTTTCTCTCTCTCTCTCTCTCTCTCTCTCTCTCTCTCTCTCTCTCTCTCTCTCTCTCTCTCTCTCTCTCTCTCTCTCTTGTTACGAGCTCTCTCTTCGCCTTTTTGTAAGCGTAAATTGCTCGGTGGTCGGTGTTGTAATGTAATTTGGACGTACTGAAATATTCGTTTGAATGTCACGTAGACGATTCTGTTTATGTGCTTTTATGCTTTCTTACTTTCTGTCACTGTCTCGCCCCTCTCTTTTAGTCTCTTTTGGTTTTACTATTTTATACTCTTGATAAACTCTCTTCTCTATTTTTAATTTTGGACAAGTGAAAGCGTAATTGTATACGTAAGCGTTGCTTTACTGTTGTTACTAGCTATTGCAATGCAATAGAAAATATTATCTAACCATGATATAATAATTTGGTATTCCATTAAAAAAGTCATGCTGACAAATTTTGTTGAACTTGCAGAAAGTATGAACGTTGATATACAGCAACCTGCTCTGCAATTTGCGATTAATATTTTACACGGAAAACAAGTTTACCGAAAAGATTACGGTTACGATCGGTAATGTAGGAGCATGGCAACCGTACAGTTTGTTACATAACTTTCAAAACATTGAAATTTCCAAAGAAACCTCATAAAAATTCTAGAGATTAGTTGTATTTTTATCACGTCATTATCGTAAACTTATGTTTTCTTTTATACATTCTTAAATAAATGTTTTATATTTTCCATATTCCTTTTAAAATATAATTTTTTCGGACTTATACGCTATACTTTTAATATTTTGATGAGGAATTTCACAAAATAATTTTACAAAACTAGTGCTTTTTCTAATGGTTGAAGAATTTAATAAACCTGACCTTCAACATTTATTTCTTTAGATGATTTATAGTTCAATAAATTTTTCTTTATGATTAAACCTTCTCATGTATATCATTACTATAATTTAAAAAATAATTTAACTTAATTAAGCTTTTGAAGTTTGGTGGAAAAATTATAGGTGTCTGTGAAAGTAAAGAGTTACATGAAAATTTTGTGGTGACGGCTCGGGAATGCTTACGGAACAGGTACCTTGACTTTTACAGACTATTCACCGTAATTGTTACCCTAGCCATCTCTGTAATTTTTATAAGCACATGTTCACTATGAATACAGGTAATAGTCCAATAGATGATGAGACGAAAGTTCCCGTGCGTAATAATTAAAATGAATATTTAAAATGCAAATATATAGTATAGATTGCCAGCCAAATGAGACGTTGGCTATCACTGTTGTAAAATATCCGAGTGAACTATGTGTCACAGGAAAACTTGGCTGATTATTAATGCAAGCGCAAAAAATTATTAATGACGCGAACGAAGAGCGCGTTGCGGCCAACAAAAAAAAGAAGAGTAGGCGGCGCGCTCTCGAGTCACAATTAAAAAGCGACGTTTGAAAAAGCGCGTGCGAGAACCGAGCCTCCCGTATAATTTATAGTCTTGGGCTGATAAAATTTTTAGGATTTAGCATCGTGGCGACTCTTTTAACGAACGGTCCGGTCGGGGAACGAACGAACAAAAAACCAAATACCAGCCAGACAAAAGAGGACGCAGATTAAAAGCGACAAAGCCCGCGAGCGAGCGATCTGTAACTCTGCGTGGCCGATAAAACGCGCGAAGAAAGAAAAAGATTTTTTTTCCCTCTGCAGTTGCAGTGGCAGGAGCACGCGGACTCGCGCGAAACTGCTGAAGTTTTTAGCCATGGATCGCGGCACATAACTCAGCACTCGTGCAAGCGCGAGTTACGTAGGAAGGAGAGAGAGAGTCGACGCCAAGAATTTCACTCGACGGAGATAAACGCCCTTCGAGACTTCTCTCTCCCTTTCTCTGTCTCTCTCTCTCTCTCTCTCTCTCTCTCTCTCACTATCTCTCTCTCTCT